TTGAAGTCATTCTAATTCATAAATGCATTTTGTTGCCACCATGAATCCACCCCATGCAGACTTTTTTTTCCTGGAAAGAACAGCCGTGCAATCATGTGGATGATTTTAGCTTTAATCCCTTTCATTTACCATTCATCAGATAAAATTCAGCGTGTCACTATAGCTCGTGTCAAGTATGCTTACTCAAAATGGCTCTCAATCGGCAGTCGATTTGGCAAAGATCTTCTTATAATATGAAAGAGCTGAGTCAAACTTACACGTGTTCACTGCCAAACTGGTGTATCTGAAGGTGTCTGAAGTGTTTCTTGTCTTAGCGGGCAGAGGAACTTCATTAGCCGAGTCAGGGAGCCCTTTCCATTCCTTGTTTTGGATACATTTGGTGCCACGGGTACCATGCCAGCAGTGTGATGCAGAAATGAAAAAGCAATGTCATCCTCAATCATGCTTAATGATATCTCAACCTTGGCACATTTTGGATGTCTTCTTTAATCTGACACACCCTTACTTCAGGTGTTGAAGCCTCTATGGCTGGTCATATAAATCAGGTGTGTTTAATAAAGGAGACATCTAAAATTTGCACTCATGGATCGTTAACCACTGGTATAGAGTTATTTTTGCATTTAAAGTGAATGTACACTCTAAAAAATGCTGGGTTATTTCAACACAACTTTGGGTCAAATATGGACTAACCCAACTTTTGGGTTAAAAATTTAATGTAAAAATTTAACCCAACAGTTGGGGTAATCCATATTTGACCCAAAGTTGGGTTGAAACAACCCAGCATTTTTTAGAGTGTATGATCAGAGATTTTGTCAAGAAAAATGTCACTTATGAAATGACTAAGACCATTCCTGACATCTTGGTACGCATTTGATGTCTTCAAAATTAGCCTGTTTTGAAGGTCGCTTTTTTTGGGGTTGGGATAAAATTAATAAGCCACATAATGGGAAATCTCCCTGTGGACGGTCGCCATTAAGCTATAACGCATTATGCTGTCATTCTCTGCCTTTGAAAATGATGGAGCAACAAACAACTGTTGTTGTCCCTGCGGCAGCATCCCGGTTAAATTAGCTTTAATGAACATGTAATTGCTGGGAATAGACTGAGCGGGCCCGAAGCAAACAAGGTTTCTAATTGATTTGCATTTCTCTTTTTTGTGAGCAGTCGCTCATTGTCCGAGCGCGCTATTGATCGGCTACTGTGTATCGCCCCGCATGTGTTTCCCTTCATTAACTGATAACAGGCTCCCATCCCGGCTCTAATGTGGCTTAACGCCTACTTTGTTCCAGTGTCATGTCGGAGGGCAGCCCGGAATAATGAGTAAGTGGGTGGGCTGTGTTTAGGGCTATCTGCTGGGGAGGCGTTTAGTCTGCCGGGTGCAAGGAGATCACTGGAGGGGTTAAAAAAGCAGCACCTCTTAGGTCTGGATTACTTTTAACTGCTGCACAGCATGGGCCCGTCCTCCATTTTCACCAACAACCTGAAGCGATCACTTGGGCTCGGTTGGTGATACAGAGTCCAAACTAAAACTGAAATGTAAACAAATCCAAATTCTTTGACACCTGCATGATGTTTTATGGGGTGACCAGGTGGGCATAGCTAACAATTTTAGGTTGCCACACGCCAAATAATGGCTGTATTTTGGCGGTATGCAAATGTGTAGCTGCAGTTTTGTTGATTCAGCATTTGAGGTTTTTCAGCGAACCATTAGCTATGAATTGCCAAAAAAAATGTCAACACTAGTGGTACAAATTAATTTATCAATCCCTAATAGGCTACAGTAACAATAAATTCTAGTCCTAATGGAAAATAATTCAATAGTAAATAATTCATGTCAAAAGAATAGCTATTTTGTATCATTTTGAAATCGTTCAAAAGCTTTAATTCCCTGAAATTACAAAGGCTGGTTGACTTGGGGAGTGTTGGTGCGTCTTTGAAACTGGTAAAATAGGCCTGAATGTATGTGATTTGTATTGTGCATATAGCTTTCCCGGGAAACCGAACAACCAGTCACAGAAATTCTAATCGTCACAGACGTTTACCCTGATTTTCTTTGCCATAGAATTGTAAATTGAGCACAGAAATGATAAATGATACGCCATACGTGCAATTTGGCTGCGTAATACAATGGTCACACAACGGCGAGCCGCTGCGCTTACAGAGAGAATTGCATGTTAGCTAATTGTTAATTTGGGCGACTCGCGCTCGCTAATTATGGCGGCACCGCCAAGCCATTTGCATGATGGACTTGCCACCTGCCTCGACGTATGACAGCCCGCAGCCTGGGCAAACTATATAATTACTGAACAGTGGCGGGGCAATTTTTGACTGCCGTCCCTTTGTGTGACATGAATTCTTCCTAATGACATATTTTATAAAGGGGCAAATAGCATCCCTCCTTCCGGTTCTACAGAAAAAAAATGGAGCCACTCCGACATTTCAGAACATTAAAATAAAATCCTTATTCACAAAAGCTTGTTATTTCGGAAGACGTACTACCGACTTACTCTCCGTCTTCTCTTTCTTTGCACACCCCAAACTCTCACAGATAGAAATAGGCAAAATCGTGCAGGACTAATATGATATGTCATAGAGCATAGGCTACTTGATGCATTTAATCAACATAATTGATGAAGTCTTAAACAAGAAGAGCATGTATACTGCCTGACACAGGAAAAAAAAATCTGTCTTCATATTCAGAATTGTAAGCAGCTTTGTTTTGGTTTGAATGGCATTTAGCAGAAATATTTAATGTATGACTCTCCAGTCTTATAGTATGTGGGCTGTCCTCAAGATTCTGCTATAAAAGCAAAATAGAACAAATGACCAAATGGTCATTTCCGGGCGATTCATCAGTTTAATATCTTTCCCAACAACTAACAAGAAATGAGGTATTTTCTTTTCGGAACATTGCTGCAGTTCATGATATTCACAAAAGCTTGTTATTTCGGAAGACGTACTACCGACTTACTCTCCGTCTTCTCTTTCTTTGCACACCCCAAACTCTCACAGATAGAAATAGGCAAAATCGTGCAGGACTAATATGATATGTCATAGAGCATAGGCTACTTGATGCATTTAATCAACATAATTGATGAAGTCTTAAACAAGAAGAGCATGTATACTGCCTGACACAGGAAAAAAAAATCTGTCTTCATATTCAGAATTGTAAGCAGCTTTGTTTTGGTTTGAATGGCATTTAGCAGAAATATTTAATGTATGACTCTCCAGTCTTATAGTATGTGGGCTGTCCTCAAGATTCTGCTATAAAAGCAAAATAGAACAAATGACCAAATGGTCATTTTCCGGGCGATTCATCAGTTTAATATCTTTCCCAACAACTAACAAGAAATGAGGTATTTTCTTTTCGGAACATTTCTGCAGTTCATGATAATTTGCCTCAGTGTAAATTTGACCATTTAAATTGTAGGATTCTAAAAGACAGTGTCATTACAAAAGTAATTTTCTTTGAGGAGAAACAAAATAAATAATAAAAAAAAACAGTAAAGAAATGGGAAGGTATGAAAATGCAGTTTTTGTTCATTGGATGGGAAAGGCTCCATTCACATAAGGCTGAATGCGCTGAATTTCACTGGTGCCACAATTACACTGAAAGGTCAAGTATTACTGCATCTTGTGTTCCGCGCTGCATGCTAAGTATTTCATCTTGCAAATGACTCTCGTCTGCTTACGCAGCACAATGGCCTCAAGAAGCAGATAAATGCTTGACAATTAAATATATTTTTGCTACTAGTTGACAATAAGATTTACTAAAGGAGGTGATTGCAGTTAATGTGTAATTGTGCCATTTGCCATGCGCATATCAGATGAAGCTGGTACACCTAAGAATGAGGTGCTGGAAGTCGTACACGAAATCCAGTCTTGGTTCATCTTAATTTCTTTTTGTTACTTTCCTTTTACAGACCCCATTTTAGATATATTTAGATTAAACACGGAAGATGCATTCGAAAACTGGAGTTTTCTACGAAGAGCACTTCTTTGTCCGTTTTTGAGCAGAGGCTTACTATTCTGTAGTTTTAAAGACTCAAAGTAATTCAGTGCAGCAGTACCGACAAAGAGAGATTTGCTTTATGTGGCTGTATAACTGTAAACGATTTCGTCTTTATATAATTTAATGCCAAATTTGATCTCATCTCAGTTTTAAGTGTGTTAAGCGACTTGTAGTGCTTTTCCTTACTCATATCGCAGTGTTTGCCTTAAATTCACCGCATATCTTGCGCTGTTGTGTGTCAAGAATAGAGTTTGTATCAAGCTGAAATGCAGTGTTGGATCGACTTTGGACCGTTCTCGCCTGACTTTGTTTTGGACTGTAAATTGTCCAATTAAGCATTTCATTTAAACCTATACGCTTGTGGTTTTAAGTTATACTTTTGCAATTTTACTTTAAAACTGATGTATTTGGAAATAAAGCTATTATTAATTAAGTATAGTTTACATGGCAATGCTAGCGGAAGAAACTTCAGCACCACGGACAGCTCCAGAGCAAATGACATAATGCGAACTAAAAATACTACATAATGTGGGCTAATCATTACATAACCTTACTTTTCGAAGGTGCCCGAAACAGGTTTGTTTTGTGTGGACATGTTTCAAGTCAGCGGTGTAAATAAAAGATGATCGCTTGAGTAAAAGCAATTGACATGATTATTGGTTATTAGTGTAAGCATAAAGACTTATTGTTCTGACACTTATCTGATGTTTACATTTGCGTTGTACGTGAACACGAAGTTTCTTTATGCTCTTTAAAAATCTTAGTGGGACATTGCTCTTAAATCCATATAATTATTCATTCTGCATTAAAAACCTTATTATATGAATAATGTCAAATGATTAAGTCCAAACTTTGTGGTTTATCTATAAGATTCAGTACAAAATACGCTATAAATGCAGATAGTGTATATCAACCCCTTTCTCCGAACTACATAGTAGAATAAGCAGGGAACGAACCTCAGAAATCCTAACTCTAATATGATTGCGTTGGGATTGGGGTCTAATTGCAGGGAGGTGACTGGGACCTTTGCACCCAAAGCCTCGAGGACAGTCCGCAGTTGTGCAACGTCTGTTGAGTGAGAGTGATGAGAGCATACACGCTTCCAACAAGTCATTTTCAACAGCTACAAGCTCCACACAAAGACCACACACCGAGCCTCAGACATGTTAATGTAATCTGGAGTCTTTCAGAGGAGCTCTAACAAAACGAATCTCCGAAATTCTAATAGACTCTTTCGGCGCCGGTAGATTGCTGTGGAAAGTGATTGAATTTGCACAACGGATCAAAGAGAAAATCTTACTTGCCTATAAAATGAACATTTATTTTATGTGTGTGGTTAATCAATTTATCCAGCCTTGCGATGAAAGTACGCACGGTTAGGATAGCAGACATCCGTCTAAATACTTAAGGTTATTAACATTGCAGTGATGTAATAGGCACACTTTCAATTTTCGCTCATTGTAAATTAAAGTAAACTTTATAAATATGATATCTTGTCACTATGGCTAACATGCCTTTTAAATGAACGAATATTTAAAATTCTCAAACCAATTTTTTTTTAAGGTTGGGTGAAATTAAAAATATCAAATAATATTCGCCCATTGATCTTGTATTTGTAGACACTGTATAGACATTGCTAACAGTTTTAGGTGGAGGTTACATATAATTGAATATCAGTGCAAGTAAAAGAAGCATCTGTAGGCCTTCGAAAGTATAATTTCGGACATAATCGACAAAATGATCTGTTGATTTAACGACCCTTCACAGAAAAGAAGAGCTCCATTACAATCAGTGAGTCATTAAAACGCGCGCCCCACTGCCCGCTTATTGGCGCGAGAGCTTCACATAAATACATCCATCAGTTGAAGGTTTACTACATGCAGAGAGTTTTATTTGCGATTAAAAGGCACAAAAATCCAGGCGAGAACAGCAACAAGGGCCATACCGAGCATTTGGACTAATGGCCTAGTTGTACAAGTTTTGCTTTGCATCAAAAGTTAAATTAGCGCTACTAGCTGTTGAAGCATAGCCTATAAAATATCAGGCCAAATAGTGCACAGTTTACTACAGTCTTTTTTTTCTTCCCACAAATAACCGAGAGTTATACACACTAAGATCAATCAATGTAATGCAACTCTGGTTTGTCAAGCAAAAAGAAACTTGGGCAATAAAATGATTGAACACAACATCCATCACAACGTTGGGGTTAATCGCAGGCAAGTACAGTCTTGTTCTAGAAATATTATTTTGGTTATTATTATAAGGGCAAAAGAACAGTGCAATTATGTCATAAAAGCAACAATGATATCAATTGTTTCGTTTTGAAAAAAGTTATTAAAAAAAAATAAATTAAACAAAGCTGAAACTTGAATTTTATAATTTCAATATAATTGAAAAGTTAAATATATATATAGCCACATAAACGATAATTATGGTTCCTAAATCTGCATGCCATAGACTACCATTCCTTGTGACCACGCAGGCAAGAAAAAAACAAATCTATAAAAGAGTTTATAAATCACAAATGTCCAATATGTTCTTCGAAAAGAGAGTCATGCACGCCAAAAAATGAAGGGATAAATAATTAGAATGCTACGGAAGAAAGAAAAAGAAAGAAAGAAAGAAAGAAAGTCAATGACACGCGACTTTTCTGTCCACAATCCCCAATTGTGGGCTATTTATTTAATTCTGAACTGGCCAAAAGGTGTAATGGAAATATCTTTTTCATATTTAATTTAATTTAATTTTCTTTCTTTTCTTTTTCTTACTTGGCATAGCAAGTCCCACATACACAGAGAAACACACGACACGCACTTTCAAACGTTCTAGCAGGCACCACAGGCAATCTTACCGCGCCCCTCAGATGTTGACGGTCTTTATCAATGCGTAAACACGGTGGCATTTGATTTTACCTCTGATCTTCACAAACACGGTATTGATGGACGGCGCTCTGATAAGTGTGTTTATTTCGTCTTGCAAAGTTATTGAGGAGAATGCTGCTGTTTGTACAGCGATGTGATTGATAAGTTAGCTTTTAGGAGCGCTTGTTTGATGTGAGTTTCTCTCAAGGAGTGGAGACCTCACCTGCACTGACTCATTCTCTTACGACAAAGAACAAGCTCCAAAAAGAAATCTCTACAAAAACGTTTTCTTGGAAAAAGTAATAGATTACAACGTACTTAATAGGTTAAATCCAATTAGCTTGGCATCTAAAACTGATTGTTGCAAAACGTTTTTACAATCAAATTGGTATGAAACATTAGTATATGATATATGTGCATTTTATAATATTTAATAATTGTTTTGTGCAAAAAATGCACAAAACTCGTGTTTCATTTTGCACGTAAATAGATCCCTGGTTTCTTCAGTTGTACAAACATATTTATACACGACGCAAAATTTACTTCCAACACATTTAGGCTACCAATATTTGGCGTTTGACTCCATGGGTGTTGCAACACAGAAAACTACAGAACTATTTGCAGAATGGACACTTTACTCGGAGGCCTGTGATGCAGAAATCCAGCTCCACAAACCTGTCACACTGAAGGGAGATCCAATACAAAACAGTAGAAATCGTCGATTTCAAACAATGAGCGACTGCAGCAAAAATCCTTCTAATGCGTGTTCAGAAAGCTTGTACAAATTTAATGGCTGGTTGTGTGGAAGCTTGATGACTTTTAAACTAGTTTTCTTGAAGAAACAAAAGCGTTAAATTGGTCAGGTCCCACTTTTAGCACCGCCGAGTGATTGATTCTTACACCCACATTTAAAACAAACGTATTGTTAAGCTATTGTCATTATTGTCATAATTTATTAATATGATTGTATGACTGCGTTTAAGTCAAATATCTATATAAGTTACAAGAAAATTAAACGTACAAATAACAATAAAACTGAAAAAACATGTGACCCTTGATATCGATAAAAATTATGTACAATATACATATCGCTAAAAACTATGTAATCAGTCCAAACCTTTTACAGAAATATACAAGCTACGTTTTACAGTGAAATCTATAAGAAATCATGAAAGGTATTTAGCAGTCTAACTGTGAGGGGAGATGTCTTCATTGTCGGGACTTTTTTTTTAAATCCAACAGGATGACAGAATATTTGATTTTAGTGTTTAAATCAGTCTCCATTTAAAATCTAGTGTATATAAATAATTCCATCTTCTTAATGGTGTTTTGGGCTCATCCTCAAAATAAAAGATTTGATACCTTTGACATTTGGCAATCCCCGTGTTGCTTGTAGCCTTGTCATTTCTCCCTCCAGAAAGGAGACAATGCTTTCAGAGCGCAACCACTGTTCTCATGGTCTTTTTGAGCAGGGTATACAGATTATCTGCATCCACCTGTCATTTTGTTATTGTGTTATTGTCTGTTCCGATGTCACCATGTCCTGCCATAAAGCAGAGCGGAGCAGGGCAAGGCAGCTCCATACTCGGAACCAGAAGAGTTCAGGTGTGACAGGCCGGATACCTGGGTTTGGAGAGATGGGGGGCTTGCAGCATGTTGACCCAGATCTGGGGACTGGCCGGCGCTGCCTACCTGCTGACTTTGATGCTGGCCCATTGAAGAACTGTTATTGGACATAATCATGACGTTTCCCCCCTGGTGATGGTGGTTTTGTACACCAGTGTTGGGTGTATGGCTGCTGCCTTGGCATGGCTTTCCGTCTTTCACCAACACCGGCACGGCCACCCGCCGTGGAGACTGTTGCTGACAGGAGCCATTGTCTTGTTGCATTTGCTGCTGGGACACTTTGTCCTTGGCCTGCCTTTTCATCTTATATCGGTGGTTTTGAAACCAAATTTTAACTTGAGTCGGAGTCAGGTGAATCATGCTGGCCAGATGTTCCCTCTCCGGCGCGGAGAGGTACTTCTGCTGCTTGAAGCGTCGCTCAAGCTCGTACACCTGCGCCTGGGAGAAGAGTACTCGTCTCTTCCTGCGAGGCGTGCTGGTCAGCGGACCCATGCCTTTGCCAACATCCGCCAGTGAACTCAGCGTGCTCATGCTGCCCATATTCATACCAGACGGGGAACCCATGAAACGAGAGACTGCAAAAAGAACAGTCCTATTTAGCTTTGCAATTTAACAACAGCAAACACAAAATCAGTATCAGTAATTAAATACAAATAATGAATAGAAAAAACACAAAAGCTCCTTGGCTCAGTGAGCTACAACAAGATAGCAAGATGAGAGAATATATATATATATATAGTGATTGTGCACAATTACGCAATCGTCTCTTGTTTAAATTCCTAGTTTTGGACAAACACTGGAACTGCAGTTAGGAGTCTGTTCATTGTTGCAGTTTGTTTGGGTTTAGATAAAACACCTGGCACGTTTAACGTGAGGTTGGCTTAACATATTTCCCCTCAGTACTGTCATAAGCCCCACGTTCACTTGGACACTTGGAGATTTACAAAACAGCATAAGTTAAAAACAATTGTAGCTGACATGTTTAATACACTGAATACATTTTCAAATAGCTATCATTCAAAATTCACAAACAGTTCTTGCAAATACAATAAAATGTCGATTTCACGTACTTGTAGAGAAGCGTGGGTCGGGATTCGTTCCGTACCAGCTGGTGGCCGTCGTGCTGCCTCTCATGCCGTCTTGATAGGCCGGCAGGTCGCTCATGTTGCCCAAATTCCCGTTACAGTAGCCCCCCATGGCTGTATGTGACAGCTGGGAAACTCCAGCTGCAGTCATGTGGTAGGCAGCGGGTACTGTTCCATTGTGGCCCATGTGGTGCTGCTGCATCGCCGCTTGCGTGACTTGGGGTTGTCTGTACGAGGCAAGAGGAGCCCCCAAGTTGTTCCCCTCCATACTCACTTTTTTGTAGCTCTCTTCAAGAGGACTTAAGATATCGGATACAGAAAAAGGAGTCGTATGCTTAGGGCTCATCGACATTGTTCTGTGTTGGAAAGGGAGAAATTAGAAGGCAAGGCAATCTCTCCTTCTTTTTTTGGCCAGCTCCTCTGTTCCTGTTGTTTCACCGTCGCTGCAGCAGGATGGAAACGTATGAGTGTGCACTGGAGTCCGCCTTAATTGGTTTGAGTGGGAGCTCGAAGCTGACTTTCGTTTGTTTTAGCTTGGTGCCAGGTTTAAGGCTTCCATCAGAGGCGGGGCATCAGCAGCCAGGGCAACAATACAAAGCAGCGCTATCATCTGTGCACCCACGCGCAATTTCTTTCACGCGGTCTTCAACTACCCATGCCTTCCCCCAACCCCGAACACATTTAAGCATGTAACAACACATGTGCGTAAATTTAATTCGTCCAGAGTTAATTTTCCGCGCGAGGCTGTTTATGTTGCGGCAGCGAGGCTTGCAAGAACGGCAAGGAACACAGCAAAGGATGAAATATTGACAGTTGGAGTGGTGTTTATAAGGGCGCCTTGATGTGAGTGCATATGCGGACTTCAGACTCTGAGAACCACTCAGTTTCTGAAAAAAGCCTTATAGTGATTGTGCACAATTACGCAATCGTCTCTTGTTTAAATTCCTAGTTTTGGACAAACACTGGAACTGCAGTTAGGAGTCTGTTCATTGTTGCAGTTTGTTTGGGTTTAGATAAAACACCTGGCACGTTTAACGTGAGGTTGGCTTAACATATTTCCCCTCAGTACTGTCATAAGCCCCACGTTCACTTGGACACTTGGAGATTTACAAAACAGCATAAGTTAAAAACAATTGTAGCTGACATGTTTAATACACTGAATACATTTTCAAATAGCTATCATTCAAAATTCACAAACAGTTCTTGCAAATACAATAAAATGTCGATTTCACGTACTTGTAGAGAAGCGTGGGTCGGGATTCGTTCCGTACCAGCTGGTGGCCGTCGTGCTGCCTCTCATGCCGTCTTGATAGGCCGGCAGGTCGCTCATGTTGCCCAAAAAGCCTGAGTTGAACTACTGACTTTTAATGGCCACAAGAGGCTTCTGGTGATTGCAGGCGTGTTTGTACTATGCTCCATCGTACTCAAACATGCAAAGGGCTC